CAAACAGCGTGAAACGGATAGCGCCTACAAGAATGCATGAATACCTCACGCATTGCGACAAACACAGTGCGGTCTGTGAGGCGCGGCGGCGGAAGTTAAAATCATTAATCCACATTTATGTTTGTTCTTCCATAATTTTTTCGTTAATTTCTTATGAATGGAAGGTCTTGTCCACACAGAGATAGGTTTACGAAACTTAACTTTCGCGCAAAGTTCCGTGAACCTTTGCTAGTAGTGTTGACAGGGCTTTCCCAAAAAATGTGTTCAACACCAGTAAACGCGTCTTATGCGCCCCTCCCCCGCTGGCACGTTCATTTGATGGTTTTCATTGATGTTTCAAAACGAATGAGAAGGGAGCGGCAAAATACTAGCGGCCCATGGGCGGTAAGTAGGTAAATCCGGCCCTAAGGCGTGGTGCCTATACGTGGTGTAAGGTCAACTAACAGCCCTTCTTTAAAGCGCGAGATCCTGATTTACGGCATGCTATAATGTATAGATTAAAAACAAATTAATGGAATCTTTCGTACACTTTCGCAAAATTCCATCTCGGAGAAAGGAACTGTCGGCGAAATTTACAAACGATGATGTGAACACTACCAAAGTCGCAGATTCTAAATGAGCCCCAGATGAGAATAGGTTTAACGTCAGTATTTCAACAGGTTTCAGCATTCATCTCGTATTCTCTAATTGATACTTCCATCACACATCAGAAATTGGAAGAATACGTGCCTCCTTGCGCAATGCTCCAGACTTTGTCGTAATTTCATTCTGTATGGGAAAGTACTCAACGTCAATCCTTGAAAACTTTTCTGATGTTTCTTCTAGGCGTTACTTAAGGATGTTCTGAAAAAACTTCAAGTTGTGTGCTTTTAGGTGTGATCAAATCAAATGAAACCGGAGAATTTAAAACACCAAAAAACGAAAGTCGCGTTCTTGCAGTCCCAATGTCGACGTTGCTCAGATAATCGACGTAGGTAGTTCACGCGACCTTCTTTTTCGATGATTTTAGTCAATTGTTCGCAGAGTGCAATGCCGATTTCGACCGGTGCAAAAAGGTGAGAATATTGCAAAAGAGGAGACATTTCAAAGCTCTGGACCGACATCATGGATTCTCTGGGCGCAAACTCTACGAAGTGGCGATGATTTACTAAATCACCGAGAAGCGATATTGACGCGGAGGAAATTAAAAAAGAAAAATAGAAAAAAAAGAGTAATTTCCTCGAACTAAAAGCTTTTTTTCAAAGTATTGACGCCGAAAGAAAGTCTTGCATCCGTAATTATTCAAGCTACGCAATCTGTTTAAAGTAAATTAATCGCTAAAGTATGTTAAAGAAGTATCTAGAACTGGCTCGTATATTTCGAAGATAAAAAAAGAACAAAGCGGTTGAAGGTGATTTGATGGACATTGATGCTGGAAAAATACCGGACGTTAGTTCATAAAAGGCTAGTGAGTACTAACGATGATGCATTACTCAGATTGTTTAGATGCATTACTTAAGGTGCATCTTAGTATCTCACTGCATCTACCTCAGCTGCACACTCTCCCCCCTTTCAGTCTTGTACTGTATCAGTATAATACTGATATTCATTACAGCTCTTTCAGACTAGGTACTTGAAAATTTTGAACTTTTCGGCCTTACTTTATCTGCAAGATAGCGTGGACTACCACTATTTCTACCACCTCGTTACTATCACTTACGAGTGGTTGCAGTTTGGGAGCTGGAATTCACGATTCGGAGTTCGTTTTTCGTCGTGCAGACTGAAGACCAGCACATCGACAACGGTGCAATTGCAAACACGAATCTCGTTCGCAGTGCATCAAAGTCTCTGCTCCCACTTCAGTTTATCAAAGGAGAACAAACCCACTGTATCGCTTGAAATTTTCACGGAAAAGTTTCCACACTAAGGAAATACACGTGGAAAGTTCGTTAGAAATGCCGTTGAATGCTTTACCATTTGGAAAATATGACAAAATAGAGAGTCTTCAGCGTCGCAAACCGCGATGCGCATTGTTGCAGTTTCAACACAGACATGCACTTCGACGATGAAACTACTAAACCAAATATCTCGTTTGCGTTGTTTTAAAATCTCCGCCCTTGTGATAATTTTTATGAGGAGAACAGATGAAATTAATTCTTTGAAAGTTTTCACGGAATTCTCTTCACCCAGAGAGGAATAGTCGCGTAAGTTTTTAAAATTGGCGTCAAGTGACTTTACATTTTGAAAATGAAGCATGACAGGAAGTACGCAACATTGCAAACCAAGACTGCCGTGCTAGGGAAAAACGCCGTATGAACATTCGAGAGTTGCCAAATTTCCTCCGACAAAATGTCTTATTTTTTAGAAAAGTTATCAATAATTTTCCTTGAAACTTTTACACTTTTGAATCATATTACGAATAAAACTCGGTGAAAAATCGAAAGAAAAATGTTTATAAATATTCACAAAAATTCGTGATTTACTTATCAAAGGAAATTTATAAGGAAATAAAGGTTTATACGGCGTTTTTGCTTAGCACATCAAAAGATACGTCGTTTGGGAGTTTCGGCGTCGACTTGAATTTCTAGGAACTTCTCGAATCCTTCCGTCTCTATTGTACAGCCTGCATGATTGTACCTACTACTTGTTCGTGACTTTCATCTAGAGAAAGTAGGTACTCACAAATGAGCTGAAATGCTGAAATTTTTTGCAATGATTTAGATAACGGGATATCACGAATGAAGGGATTGAATGACACTTCAACGTATATATTTGAAGTTGGAAAACCACTTGGACATGGAAACTTCCAATACAAATAAAGTTTTTAAACTTTCACAAATAAAGCGAAAAAAATTAATACATTACTTAAGTGCGCGGTCAGCTTTTACTTAACCAAGTGTAAACAGCAAGACAAATTTTCCTCAAAGAGACTGTTTTTTTTTAATACCTAGTATGCCACCGATAGAGGTCCTTTTTTAATGAATAGGAGTCAAACTCTTCCAAGAGAATTAAGTGCCGCAAACTCAGGGGATATTTCCCGTGGCTCTCAATGAATAGATGAATACCGTGAATATCTGCGTGAATGTGTATTTATGAATCAGTTTCCCGGAATATAGTATTTCGGTCCGAAATTCCCGGGAACGGAAAAACTCCAATTTCAATCCCTACGAAATTATGCGTAATATCCTCCGATTTTGAGTTAGGGATTTTGTTTTCGCGACTTACTTAAACAGCGACATAGATGGAGATAATTCGCTCAATCATCAAAAATACCTCATTCAGAAAGGCAAGGCGGCCTTAGATAATAATGTTTGACAACAGAAAGTTCTCGGCGCCCCCTTAGTTTAAAATTTATTACGGGAGTATTGACCATAATTTCAACAAAGCGGACGCGAACCCTCAGTTGTGGTGATAAGATAACACCAGAGAACACTTTCAGATTCCCTCTGCCTACAAAACCTTCGACGGCCAACCGATACTTTTGAATTCTAATTCGATTTATTTTTTCTACACATAGTTTGTATCCACCTACACAACTTAGGTGGATACAAACTTACACTAAGAAAATTCAAAATGTCGCTCATCATGCTTGTTCTTAACTTACTTAAGCCGGGAGAATCACTTCCTTAAATCATGATTTATGACGACCTCCGTTTATTGTGAATATTTAGGGTCCTCGTTCCTAACATTCACTTTAATGTGTAGAGTAGCAAGAGCTGGGGAGAGCAAAAGACAAAAAGCATTGGACAAAAGTCACATCAACCTGTAGGCGTAGTTGGCCCATTAGTTTGAACTTAAATTAGGTACACTTTAATGGTGCCATTTTCTGGTGAGACGCTTGTCCAAAACTTTCTTTCCTCAGCTCTTTGTGAAGCCTCTCATTCCAAAACCTTTAAAATCTAGCGCAAAAAATCGACAGTATTGTAACTCATCCATAATTTTTAAGCCACATCTCACTTCTATCCTCTGTAGCTTCAGTCAGTATGCAGTCACACATCACACAATAAAAAACACCTAGAGATACCTAGGTTCCTCATACTTCTGTATTTTCTTGATAGTTATAAGTAAAATTGAGAGATTCCTGCTTCAAGTGTAGGTGAGTCAATGTGTTCGCCAGTCAATTTAAGAAATTAGACACGATAAGGTAGACTGCTACGTGCACTACTTTAGGCACTAAATTTACTACCACATCATGTTTTCAGAGCTTTCAACCTTTCCTAGTAAAGGAATCGCATCCACTTGCTTCATCCCGAATGTCAATTATGGAAAATACCCAAGCTAAGAGAGGTTAGATCAGTCTTGCATGTGCGATAATCTGACACTGATCAGAATGACTGGTTTCTTGAAGTGTGGGTATTTAATTTACTTGGTCATATTCCGCCTGATGTGTATCAAGCACTTCCAACCCAACTATCACTGACTTCAAGTAACCAATATCAAAATCATGTTTAACTAGGAGCAGACTGATGTACAAATGAAAAACTTTATGATGCAGTCTGATTCATGGTCAGTCTTAAAACTCACCGGTGAGCTAGAAAGCAGGTGAAAATAGAAGAGGATTGCAAGTGGAAGTGACAACTGACCGATCCCACACCAGTACTACAAAAACAAATACCTATAAAATCTGACATTGGCTCGATAATATTCCTGAATTTAGAGCTGAAATCTGATTATACGACAATCGGTAAAAGTAATGCTTTCGACATGAGTCTTCTCGTGGAGGCAAACCTTCTTGGTGTTCATTGTTAGGTACTTACTTACATACTTGCTTAACAAACCAAGTACACGCATTAAAACAAACATCCAAAATTCTAGGATTGTTCAACAGTAAATTAAAAGAACTTATGAGAAAAGCCATTCACTCCTTATTCTAGAATCTAGGTACTGAATTTCCTCGGGTATAGGAGGTTTCGAAAAAATGAGGAGAATAAGGAGAGATATAGAAAAACCTTCGTGGGAGACACGAACTAAGGTTTAGGAATGCTAATGTGCAGTTGAGGTTAATAAATCTTGAGACTTACATCTGGTAATGCAAACTGGGCTTGAATATTCCTTCTTGGCACAAAAACACAACCACTTGAGAGTAACTGAAGAATGTAATCCAAACGAATAAATCCAGTCGGTTAGAACAATCAGCAACACACTATATTTCCAAGGGCCCGAACACAACCAAAACGCATCGAAAAACACCGATACTCGAACAAACGAAAAGGTACGTCGATTGTGCGGGAAGTGAAAACACTATTTCGTTAAAACCGCAAGCGAATTGCACAAAAGATAGGTTAAAAGGTGATCAAATGCTGTTGCACTAGGGTAAGAACTCACGAGTACCGCACGTTGCGCTCGCGACGCACTCCGAAGCAAACTGACGGCGTCGGCAAATGGTGGTGGCGATCAGTGTTCCCAGGCGTGCGGATATTTCCGCGCCGCGCGGACATTCCCTATACCCGCGCGGACAGCGTACGGACAAAAACCTTATGGGAAAATTTTTCCCTATCTTATTTTGTCCGTACGCTCGCCCGGCCCTGTCCGTGCGTCTGTTTATCCGCTTTTCTTTGCAATATTTATTACTTTTGCGTAAGTTATTGATACAATGATGTTTAGTATGAAAGCCGGGTATCGTTTGGGAACAAATTAGATACTTTTTGCATTAATTATATTGTATTCTTATCAAAATTCAGTCATTTCATTCATGTCCGTGCGCCCGCCCGGCCCAGTCCGTGCATCTGTTAATCCGCTTTTCTTTGCAATATTTATTACTTTTGCGTAAGTTATTGATACAATTATGTTTAGTATGAAAGCCGGGTATCGTTCGGGAACAAATTAGATACTTTTCGCATTAATTATATTGTATTCTTATCAAAATTCAGCCTTTTCATTTAAGGTCCGTCCTTGTTTTCTGTATTGTTGTGCTTTTGTGTTTGATCACTCAGACATTTTTTCTTACTTTTTTTTCTCAATTTCGCCAATGTTATTGATATAAGGAAGCCACGAATAAAACCCAGGTATCATACAGGACCTTTCTGCATTAATTTATGTGTTATTCAATCAGTTCAATGGGTTAGGAATTATGAATTTCATGAAAAGTCAGCTCCTTTCTTTTGAATTATTGCTTTTTGATGTAGGCACCTATAATTGTTCCGATTATTTTTTCCTGTCAATGCTTTCTAGAGGACATAGGTACTTGAATGTCACAAGAGATCAAGAGAACATCAACATCATCAACAAAACAACAAAACAGCCGGAGCCGGAACCGGAAACGGAAACGGAATTCACGGAACACGGACGGAGCACGGAGCGGCACGGATATACACGAGCCTCCCCGAGTTCATCCGGAGAGCGTACGGACATTTTAAGATAGGAGCACCTGGGAACACTGGTGGCGATAGAGTTCAGAGAATCGGGCCCTCTTTACAGCGTCGCCAGATCGCACCGAAATACGCGCGTATTATCACGGTGGAATGTGCGCGGTCTCGTTTGAAAGGCAACTCTGTCGCGACTCCGATGCGCCGGAAAGTGGCGGTGCGGGTCAACGGAGGAGAGGCAAAACGACCGGGAGTCGAGCACGACTCACACACTCTCAGAACGCACTCACACAGGCGCAGACCGACGGGCGGGTGTGTTGTGAGGCGCTTCAGTGCCTGTCGGATTGCGCCGTGGTTGATAGTTAAAAGCGTTTAGGCGGAGTTTTCAGCCAAGTTCCCGCCCAACGATCCACCTCCCGCTACTCCACCATCTCATCGCGTACCGAGGCTTTAGTCGGTGCTCGGTGCTAGACGGCTCATGACTGATTATGCTTTATAATTTGCGAAAATCAGCCGCTGAAATTAAATTTTGAGCGCTGAAGCCTGAAGCAGGGAATACGCTTGCTGCGGTGCTGCGCGGCGATAGGCTACGAAAAGCTAGCCTCACGCCGCGAAGGGAAGCTCGAACTATTTTTCTAGGACTGAATTTCGTCGTTTCCCGCACGAAGGAACGTAAGTTCATTCCAAGGTTGCAAAATTGTCTCACAAAACTCAATTTCTTACAAAAATCTACCGGGGCAATTTTTATCCGAGATAGTTCTGATTTTTTCACACTGGAAAAAAACACATTGGATCTAGAGTCCAGACTCTTGAAAACATCGACAAGAAAAAGGACTCTTGATTCAATCAGATTTAAGCTTAAATCAAAAGGAAATCCGCTCAAATTAAGAGGCTTGCTTCTTGATTTAAGCTTAAATCTGATTGAATCAAGAGTATTTTTTTTTGTCGATGTTTTTAAGAGTCTGGACTCTAGATCCAATGTGTTTTTTCCCCAGTGTGAGATCAGAAGCAAAATCAGGGAAATTTTCACTCAAACAAAATTAAGTTGCTGATTTAACAATTTTTGGGCTTAAAAAAACGTCCGACGTGTCTCAATGTGCATATTGCATTAAAAAAAATGCTAAATGCATGATAAATGTATGATGATCCTGTCATTCTCAATTAAGTTTTTCGGAAAATTGAAACTGCCTGGAAAGGATTTTCCAGGCAGTTTTTTTGTTTTTTTTTTTGGAAAAAATTTGATTTTTCGGAAAATTACGTGATGGTGAAAAACTGATCGCAGTTCCGAATTCAGTACTAAAAATCAAATTAGAAGCAACTACTGATATCAACAAACATGTGGGCCTGAAGACCTGCGAAATAGAGGGTCGGACACGATTGCGAAAACATCGAATTTAAAAGGCATCAGGTGCTTCAAGTTTCCAAAACTGGACCTCATTTAGACGCTTGTAACATGACCTACGCAACTAATAGTCTCTGTCTGATTTTGTTGTATACGTTATGAATTGCTCATTCGATCGAACTTTTTTCCAGTGTAATCGAACAAAAGTGGCCCAACTGCTACCAGCAACCATATTTGCTCGTAGGTAGTTCATATTACATAATTAGGACATTGAAGGCTAACCGGTCAGAATGAACGTGGCAGACTAATATTAATCGGTTGGTGTCATAACAAAGACGGATAAAAATGGCCAAACTGATGCAAGCAACTATTGCCGCTCCTAGACAGCTCACATTGCCTAGTCACGATATTGAAGGAGAACTTGTCAGCATGAGTGCGCGACTGCGCGACACAGTAAATAGCAATTGCAAACACTTTGTTAAGTATCGAACTAAAAGCTGTAAGAAATGTACATAATCCAAGAACATTTCTATAGCCTGAATATGCTGGAAAAATTATACACGCTCTCAGGTAGAATTTTACTTGGAAAGGGAAAAAGCTATACGCACACAACGGGAAGTTCAATTCCCAAGTCAATTTGGATTCAGAAAAAACACACTCAGGAATCGTAAAATGGGACGCAAATCATATTAAAAATGACGTCATTGACGTATTTGCCATGTACTTTATGCACATTATAAATACTTTAAGTCTTCAGGCCAATTTCCTAATTTCGAATTTTATGAGTGTGAAATATCATTTTCCTCATGAATTTTTGAAGAGAAAACATGCAACGGTGTGAGTTTGTACCTGATCCTATATCCCATGCTAGATTCGGATTCCCAAGTAAATAGAACTTCGTGTAATATTTGGTCTTTTACTTTAAAAAAAAGGTTGAATTTTTTCCTCAAAATTGTTTGGACTTTTTACCATTATAATTGTCCTTTTTTTATTATTCGTTTTATGTTTTATTCTAGTGAATATGGCTAGTAAGGCAAATTGATCCATTTCTATTAATAAAGAAAAAAATGAAAACATGGAAGAATACTTTTATCTGGCTCCGGAGGAAGGTCCTATCAAAGTGACCAGTCCGCGTCGAAAAATAAACTTTGATATTTTTTCGTGTAAAAATTCGACGACAAAAAGATTTTCCTGTCAAACTCTGAAATCGAATTTCTGAAACTCTGAAGGAGACTCTCGTTTCAATGAAATTTTTGAGAGGAAAAAATGGGGAAACTGACTTTCCCAATATGTGGATCCAAAATAGCACAGCTCATGTGAAATAACTTGAAAGCTAGCCATGTTTACGAAATCGAGAGTTGTGCTTTAAACAAAATTCGTAAATAATTATAGTTTCTAAGAATTAGACGGGAAAGTTCCGTAGGAAAAAGAGAGAAAAAGAGATTGAACAGATTTTTAGGAAGAAAATAGTACGTGACAAGGTACATAAATTGTCTCTATTTTATATCTTTGAGAAATTGGTGTTTTTGAATTACCACTGTATTGATTTGCATTATTATGTTATACGATTCTTCAATGTTTAACTTCGCACAGAGGATGCGCGAAAAAGTGGTTGTCAAAATCTTAAAAAAGCTGTGGAATTTGAAATTGTTTAAAAATTCTGGACAAAGTTTGACGAGCCAAGATCTCTCTCTTTCTCCGGGTGCCAGGCGCTCACTTTTTAGGTAGAAAAGAATTTTGCCAAATTTTTATTGAACATCAGAACCTGGCTAGAAAAAATAACCTGAAAAAATACCTGGCTTGAAAGTTAATCTCGGCCAAAATTCCTAAGGCACGAATAAAGATTTCTAGGTACGATTTTTAGGTAAAAGCTTGAGCGAATAATTTTTGGAGCTATTCAAGTTTTGCTGTCTTGGAGCAAATACATTTCTTGCAGCAATTCTCCGCCGGCTTCATTTGGTTTAATGAATCATAGCATTTGAATTTTCTATTTACTGTGTTTTGCATTTCGACCAGTTCTCCTTCAATACTGTGACTAGGCAGTAATAATTGCCTGTAGCAATGCGGCCTTTTTATTTCGCCTTATAGTCATGGTATCAATCGGTTAATATTACTCAGCTTGCGGGAATGTCTTGCACTCGTTCTGACAAATTTCCCTTCAATATTTTTACTTTGCAATATGAGTTACCTAAGATCAAAAATAGTTGCTGGTAGCTGTTAAGACACGATCATTCGGTTACCCTGATAAAAAAAGAAAAAGATCTATCATTAGATCAAAAGCGCACACGCACAAAAATCAGATATAAGTTTAGAATCAAAATTTTTGCACGTTCAATCACTTCTTTCGTCTTCCAGCAGGAAAAATTTGCGAGCCTCCGAAATTACGATAATGAAGCTAAAGTGTATTATTCTAGGTTTTACCGAAAACATCACGAGTTTGACAAGGAAGCTTACTATCTGAAATTTTATCTTTAAATGAACCAGTTCATCCAAGGATGATTCATATGTTTTAGGAATGGTTATAATTAGATAGAATTGCCATAAAGAAGAATTGAGGGGCTTGGAGAACAAGGCGCATAAGTGCAGTTTTTGCTACTTCGAGAGATACATGTTTGAAGTTTCGAAATGACATGGATTCTTATGGCGGAAAGAAAGTTCAAACTGACTTTTTGATCTTAAAGAATTGGAATTTGGGAGCAAATTTTTCACAGAATAAGCATTAAGACTA